AACATAGCCCACTTCCTCAATCTCTTTTGCCAAGTAGAGGCTCATGAACACTTCCAAGGCAACATAGAAACTGTTGCTGGTAGGAACTAAGTGAGCTGAGAGTACTAAATCAGGGAGAGCCTGGCATGCAGAGGTGGTCAGGTGACCAGCAGATCCCAGGAGATTGGTAGGGGACTGGAATGGCTTAGAAAAGTGGTCCTTTGATCAAGTAAGAGGGAGATGTTTTTGCTGGAGCCTAGTCTCACAAATATGTAGAGGACATAAGATATTTAAGCTGGAAGATCTGAGCCAAGAGCAGGCCTTCAGAGGAGTTCAGGGAAGTTTAGGCCCCTCCTTTCATCTTGGAGAGACAGAAAGAGAAACGTTTGAATAATAAACCTATCAAGAGCATACAAAATTCATTGTTTCATTGGAAATAGCAATAGTACCCTACCCATGTTCATTTACACCAAGACCCGTTGCTTTTGGGCTAAACAACATGTGTCCCACCTGTGCTACTGTGCATCCATAGTTGTAAACATCTCTGTGAATTGGCCCCATTGTGTCCACATCTGTGCCTGTGGTTGGTGATATGGCAGTTTGTGCAAGATGTTGACTGCCTGCTGAGTTGTGAGTAGGATTAGATTGGAATATAGCATCCTCAGGGTTCTGGGGCCTCCTCCCCTCCTTCTGTGTACTTCTCTTGCTGCTGCTTTTTTTTTTTTTTTTTTTTTTGAGATGGAGTCTTGCTCTATTGCCAGGCTGGAGTGCAGTGGCACAATCTCGGCTCACTGCAATCTCCACCTCCTGGGTTCAAGTGATTCTTCCTCCTCAGCCTCCGGAGTAGCTGGGACCACAGGCATGTGCCACCATGCCCAGCTATTTTTTGTATTTTTAGTAGAGATGAGGTTTCACCATGTTGGCCAAGATGGTCTCGATCTCCTGACCTCATGATCCGCCTGCCTCGGCCTCCGAAAGTGCTGGGATTACAGGTGTGAACCACTGCGCCCAGCCACTTCTCTTGCTTCTAAGGGTCTCTGCTGTTGGCCTTTTCCACTATCACTTGCTGTTGGCAGCTGTATCTCAGTTATTAGCTGCCTCTGGGTTTAGTTGCCATGGTAACCTCCAGCGGTGCAGCTGGACAGGCTTGAATGCAGGCAGGATAAATGCAGGGTAAGGGTAGAAGATGCCGGGTTCAGGCTTATGGTGTTCCTCTCCTGTTACAGGGCCCTCTTCTTTGGCCAGCTCAACTGGGCATTTATGAAGACCCTGGGGGCTCTACTTATTACTGAAGAGTTGTCCAGAAGGGGCAGAGATGGACCCCTGCTCTGGGGACCAAGTGCTGGGGAGAGTGCCAGGTTGAACCTGGAGGCTGGCTGCCCACCCTCGTTCTGAGGCTAGTCTATGGAGACCCATGAGGAGCAGCTATAGGGTTCCTGCTTTCTGTGGCTATAGGGCAGATGCACCTGTATATGGTGCACCTGATAGCAATAACTTAAGCCTACCCTGAAAATGACCCTGCCTAAATGACAGGGTCATTTTCAGGGTAGGCTTAAGTTATTAAGGCCGATGCACCTGAATATTAGGAGTATAAACGACAACAACCTTGAAGATTCATTCCTTACCCACGAGGAGTATCTAAACCCCCATCCTGTCCTGTGACTGTCCAGGGGATTGAGGCCTTTTGTTTTGGGTTAAAGTTGTTAAGGGAAGGGCGTTAAGTGAAAATGCTATATATACGGCATGCTTTCTGCAGGTGGGGCAGTTCTATCTAGCTCTCCTCCACTGGACTGCTCTGTATCAACCCTATGTCTTGTTTGCTGGCTCTGGATCACTTTTGGTGTCTTGAACCTGGTGCCATCCCTACTGAAGTTAATAGGTGTCTGATGGCTGGGCACAGTGGCTCATGCCTATAATCCCAGTGCTTTGGGAGGCCGAGGTGGGTGGATCGCCTGAGTTCAGGAGTTCAAGACCAACTTGGCCAACATGATGAAACCCTGTCTCTACTAAAAACACAAAAATTAGCCAGGTGTGGTGGCATGCTCCTGTTGTCTCAGGTACTCGGGAAGCTGAGGCAGGAGAATCGCTTGAACCCAAGAGGCGGAGGTTATAGTGAGCAGAGATAGTGCCACTGCACTCCAGCCTAGGTGACAAAGCGAGACTCTGTCTCAAAAAAAAAGAAAAAGAAAGAAAAAAGGCCAGGCATGGTGGCTCACACCTGTAATCCCAGCACTTTAGGAAGCTGAGGCAGGCAGATTACCTGAGGTCAGGAGTTCAAGACCAGCCTGGCCAATATGGTGAAACTCCATCTCTACTAAAAAAAAAAAAAAAAGATACCCATGGTGGTACATGCCTGTGATTCCAGCTACTTGGGAGGCTGAGGCAGGAGAATCACTTGAACTCAGGAGGCAGAGGTGGTGGTGAGCCGAGATTGTGCCATTGTTGCCCTCTAGCCTGGGCAACAAGGGCAAAACTGTCTCAAAAAAAAAAAAATTAGGTGGGCTTGGTGGTGGGCGCCTGTAGTCCCAGGTACTCAGGAGGCTGAGGCAGAAGAATTGCTTGAATCTGGGAGGAGGAGGTTGGAGTGAGCTGAGATCATGCCAGTGCACTGGAGCCTGAGTGACAAGAGTGAAACTTGGTCTTAAAAAACACAAAAGGTCAGGTGTGCTACCTCACACTTGGGTGGGTAACAAGGTCAGGAGTTCAAGACCAGCCTGGCCAACATGGTGAAATCCCATCTCTACTTAAAAAAAAAAAAAAAAAAAAAATTACCTCAGCATGGTGGCGGGTACCTGTAGTCCCAGCTGCTTGGGAGGCTGAGGCAGGAGAATCACTTCAACCAGGAGGCAGAGGTTGCAGTGAGCTGAGATCACACCACTACACTCCAGCCTGGGTGACAGCACTGGGCATGGTGGCTCACACCTGTAAGCCCAGCACTTTGGGAGGCTGAGGCAGGCAGATCACCTGAGGTCAAGAGTTTGAGACCAGCCTGGCCAACATGGTGAAGCCCCATCTCTACTAAAAAATACAAAAAGTTACCCGAGCATGGTGGCGTGCACTTGTATTCCCAGCTACTTGGGAGGCTGAGACACGAGAATCACTTGAACTCGGGAGGTAGAGGTTGCAGGTTGCAGTGAGCCGAGATTGCAGTACTGCACTCCAGCCTGGGTAACAGAGTAAGACTGTCTCAAAAAAATAAAAATAAAAATAAAAAAATAGTGATTTGGTACAACAATGGCCCTCATTCCTTTCAGGATGCCTTTTGAATCCTCTTTGCTTTGGTGGTTGGATGAGCTGTGGGGCATCTGAGAACAAGTCAGGTTGATTGGTCTGCTTCAGGCAAGGCCAGTAGGAGTCTCTTGGAGCAACTTGGAAAACTCACCCATACTCAACTCTGCTGTCAGCCCTGGGAGTGGCCTTTCTCTTCTCTATTTTGTTTCGTTTTGTTTTGTTTGAGATGGAGTCTCACTCTGTCACCCAGGCTGGTGTGCAGTGGCGATATCTCGGCTCACTGTAGCTGCCGCCTCCCAGGTTCCAGCGATTCTCCTGCTTTTTTTTTTTTTTTTGAGACGGAGTTTCGCTCTTGTTACCCAGGCTGGAGTGCAATGGTGTGATCTCGGCTCACCGCAACCTCCACCTCCTGGGTTCATGCAATTCTCCTGCCTCAGCATCCTCAGTAGCTGGGATTATAGGCATGCGCCACCATGCCCAGCTAATTTTTTGTATTTTTAGTAGAGACGGGGTTTCACCATGTTGACCAGGTTGGTCTCGATCTCTCGACCTTGTGATCCACCCACCTTGGCCTCCCAAAGTGCTGGGATTACAGGCTTGAGCCACCGCGCCCGGCCTGATTCTCCTGCTTTAACCTCCTGAGTAGCTGGGATTACAGGTGCCCACCACCACACCCAGCCAATTTTTGTATTTTCAGTAGAGATGGGTTTTCACCATTTTGGCCAGGCTGGTCTCAAACTCTTGACCTTGTGATCTGCCTGCCTCGGCCTCCCAAAGTGCTGGGATTACAGGAGTGAGCCACCGCACCTGGCCTCTCTCCTCCATTCTGTAATTGAGGTTGAAGTCTTAACTGTACAGGTGCCAATCTCCTTTTAAAACATATAAAACATAAAACCAGCAGGCCTGGTGGCTCACGCCTGTAATCCCAGCACTTTGGGAGGCTGAGATGGGCTGATCATGAGGTCAGGAGTTTGAGACCAGCCTGGCCAACATGGTGAAACCCCGTCTCTACTAAAAATACAAAAATTAGCTGGACGTGGTGGTGTATGCCTGTAATCCCAGCTACTCGGGAGGCTGAGGCAGGAGAATTGCTTGAACACTGGAGGTGGAGGTTGTAGTGAGCTGAAATCATGCCACTGCAATCCAGCTTGTGAGACAGAGCAAGACTCTACTCAAAATAACAAGAATAACATATAAAACCTGACAATATGGGCAAACTAGAGAACAGAGTTGTGAATTTACCTTTCCAAAAGGTTGGCTAACGGATTGCTTGAAAAGGGGCAGATCCCCAGGTGTGGCAGTACCATGGAAGTCACACCTAGGTTTTCTGGATATTGTGTCAAGGCTGATCCCTGCAAGACTTGGATCAGTCTACCCAAGAGCAGAGAAGAGGTGAGGGACACTACCCCTCCAGCTCCACATTGCTTGTCCTTAATGGGGTCTTCATATTCTGAGATACAACTTTAAAGCAGGGGGTCCCAGCTGAGACTATGAAGTCAGGAGAGCAGTTTCATTGGCTCTGCTTGCTGTATCAAGATTTACCATTTAGCCAGTAGACCTTTTCTAAGAGTATGCAATAAGGACTGAGCAAGAAAAAAGTTGGAGACTGCCTCTCCCCTCACAAAGTTGATGATCCAAGATTCTTCTCAGGAGTCAAAAAACTTGTCCAGGGAGACACTGCTGTTTATAATCACAGGCCTGCTTAGCCTAAAGCCTGGGCTGACCTCTGCATCAGTGGGGATGAGGTGCTCCTTGCTCTCAATCGCTCAGATCCCAGCAGCATTGAGCTTCTGGGTGTGTGCCAAGCCTGTATGGGAGGTGCTAGGGAGGATTTTAATTAATACTGGGTAATTACCAGGTGGTGTTTAAGCATCCCAAATGCCTTCAGGTTCCCAAACATACAGCTACAGTCTTCCTGCCTGGGCCTGGAAAGGAGAGACGGGGACTCTGCCCTGTGCCCGGCGGGCCTTTGGTTAGCACATAGGCTGTGGTCTGATATCCCAGGAAGGTCTCCATCTTTTTTAATTCCCTTCCGGTTTGGAAGGAGGAGGAGAGCAATTTGGGAAACAGCCTGGCCTCTGCAGTTCACCTATACCATCTCCACAGGGGCAAAGGATAACAATGCTTTGTGGTCTGCTCAACTTCATCAAGCAGTGTTGGCCTAGGGTCCAGTGTAGAGTGTGGGGAAAGGAGTGGGCAGACCTAGACCTGTGGACCCTGGTGAGAGTGCTCCAGGAGGAACGGGCACAGAGGTCTTTCCTGCTTTTGGCCTTACTTCCCTTTCTCACTGTACACACTTGGCTGAGTGAACTCTTTCAAATTTATTTTTCTGCCAGCGGCTCTCAAATTATGATCTCCCTGAAACGCCCACCTCCTACAAGGCCTTCCCCATTTGACATCTCAGAGACCTGTCCAGACTCCTGAGTTATTCCATCACTCCACCTTGGCAGCCACGGTGGTCCTGACTCCACCAGGTCTTTGCTCTTGTTGTATGTTCAGATGGCTTTCCTTCAGATCTTCCCCTGGTCGGGTCCTGCTCAGGCCTCAGGGCCAGCTTGAATGTCATCCCCGAAAGTGAGCCCTGTCATAACAGCAGAACCACAGTGAAGTGCTCATATGTTTCTGCATCTCGCTGTGTCTCTGGTGCTAAGTGCCAGCAAACAGGAGGCTCTTGGTATCTATTGAAAGAATAATTTAAAGGTCTTCAGGACCAGGCGAGAGGCACTAATCGGTCCCCTTCATGGGTAGACCATTCATTACTTAATTCCCTGGATTCCCGCCGGGAGCAGGCAGCTGGAACCCTCCACTGCCTTGACCCCCCGACAGTCCGAGGGGCGGGCCGCCCAGTGGCGCAAGCGCACTGAGGGCCGGTGCTAGGCGGGGACGCGCACGCCCGCGGCCGCGTGCGTCACAACTAGGGTGCCCGCCCCGCTAGTCCAGCTCGCCTGCCCGTCGGTCCCCGCGGCGGCAGCGGCTGCCCAGTGACAGCGGCGGCGGTGCCAGGCCGGCCGTGGTAGTGTAGGGTTGCACCGCCCGGAAACGCAGAGCCGACCAAAGAGCGGCGCGACGCGAGGAAGGCCGAGCCTTGGGCCGCGCGCGAAGAGACCTCGCGGGCGGGGAGCAAAAGGCCGACGTGAGTGAGCGCGGAGACAGTGGCCGCAGGCGGCCCAACCCGTCCGTCCCCTCGGCCGCCGCCGGCATGAGCCACATCCAGATCCCTCCGGGGCTCACTGAGCTGCTGCAGGGCTACACCGTGGAGGTGCTGCGACAGCAGCCGCCTGACCTCGTCGAATTCGCAGTGGACTACTTCACCCGCCTGCGCGAGGCCCGCGCCCATGCCTCAGTCCTGCCCGCCGCCACCCCACGCCAGAGCCCCGGCCACACCACGCCAGAACCCGGCCCGGACCACGTCGCCGACGCCAACGGGGACAGCGAGTCGGAGGAGGACGAGGACTTGGAAGGTAGGCTGTGGGCGGGGCCCTGGGGAATGGTGCAGGAGATCTCCAGAGGTCTAGAGGGGTGGCGGGGGGCGGGTTGTCGCGCTGGGGGCCAGCCGACTGCGGGCTGGGACTGGGAGCTTCCAGCGTTTCTCTGAGACACCGGCGTGAGCCCGCGTGCGCCACTTCCAAACCGAGCTCCGCGGTTCTGCGAGCCCTGGAACGTACAGAGTCAGATTCAGTCTTGAAGGAAACGTGTGCGTTGTCGGCCCCGCCGGAGGATCCCTCGTCTTGGCTTGAGACCCATCACCAGGTTTGGCTTCGAAGACAAGAGCATTCACATCCAGTAATTCGTGTTTAATTGATAGGAAGTAAGTTTGTTTGGAAATAATTCATTTTTTTGAAAAGTTACTGTGAAAACTTTTAAACATAGACAAAAGAGGAAAGGTGAGATAAATCCCTATATGCCATCACCTACATTTAACAGTTGTATTTGTCACAAAGTTTCATCTATACCTTATTTTCTTTCTTTGTCAAAGTGCATTAAAGCAAATCTCTCAGGTCATTTCACCTCTGCTTACTTGAGTATGTATTTCTTAAAACATGGTACTTGGGAAATTCCTATTTTAAAAATTTTGGCCAAAATGATTGAATCAAATTTGGTGAGAGTGAATAATTATCTTGCTGGCCGGGGCAGTGGGGCCCTGTAGTCCTAGCTACTCTGAAGGCTGGGGAGGAGATATCCCTTCAGTCCAAGAGTTGGAGACCAGCTTGGGCAAAATAGACACCCTACTCCATTTTAAAAAAGGAAAAACCTGGCCAGGTGTGATGGCTTACTCCTGTAATCCCAGCACTTTGGGAGGCCGAGGCTGGTGGATTACCTGAGGTCAGGAGTTTGAGACCAGCCTGACTAACATGGCGAAACCCTGTCTCTACTAAAAATACAAAAATAAGCTGGGTGTGGTGGCGGTCACCTGTAATCCCAGCTACTGAGGAGGCTGAGGCAGGGAGAATCGCTTGAACCCAGGAGGCGGAGGTTACCGTGAGATGAAATCACGCCATTGCACTCCAGCCTGGGCGATAGAGCAAGACTCTCAGAAAAAAAAAAAAAAAAGGAAAAACCCAATAACTATTTTCTTGTTTACTCTGGGTTGTAGCTTTAAAGCAAAGGATCCCAGCTGAGACTGTGAGGTCAGGAGAGCAGCTTCATTGGCTCTGCTTGCTGTGTCAAGATTTATCATTTAGTAATAGTAAACCTTCTTCAAGAGTATGCAGTAAGAACTGAGCAGGAAACAAGTTGAGAGACTGTCCCTCTCCTCACAAAGTTGGTGATCCAAGATCATCACACTTTTTTTTTAAAGATAGGATCTCAAAAAAAAAAGTATCTCGCTCTGTTACCCAGATTGCAGCGTAGCAATGCAATCAGGGCTCAGTGTCAAGATTTATCATTTAGTAATGGTCAGTAAACCTCCAAGAGTATGCAATCAGGACTGAGTAGGAAACAAGTTGGAAAGTTTCCCTCCCCTCACAAAACTGATGATCCAAGATCATCACACCTATTTTTTTTTAAAGACAGGATCTCTCTCTGTCACCTGGGCTGGAGTGTAGTGGCACAATCAGGGTTCACTGCAGCCCCAACCTCCTAAGCTCAAGGTATTCTACCACTTCGGCCTATCAAGTAGTGGGGACTATAGGTATGTGCCACTACAAAGTACTTGGCCTCCCAAAGTGCTGGGATTATAGGCAAGAGCTACTGCTCCTGGCCAAAATAACACTTTCTACATCTGATCTAAGCAAGGGTGTTAAGAGACAGTTACAGTTTCCTTGGTTTCTTCAACATACACTTTGTCAATTTAAGAGTAGAATTAGCCTACTTTTGAACAACTAAAATTTAACAAAACAATGACACGATTTGAGAGGCCAAGTTAGAATCTTAGTGTTATTAGATCACACACACAAAACTAGTTCTGAGTTTTATCTGGTCTGGCCCAGTATTCAAGTTCACGGCTGGCTGACAAGGAGTTAATTAACGGTCATTGCTGTGGGAGGTTACAAGCTTCAGTCCACTGGACAATCTCCCTAAAGGTATTCAGGCTAAAAGAGTAACAGCTGTGCTTCTGGGTTTCCCTTGATTTATTGCCCATTACATCATGGGTTTTTGGGAAATTAGAAATTAGTTTCTAAATTCTGCCACTGAGTTTGCTTTGTGGTCTTGGACAACTTGTCAAACCTGTTTGATCTTAGATTTTCTTATCTTCAAAATGAGGACAGTGACAACAATCTCCTAGGGATAAATGTGTTTTTAAAAGCTTTATTTCAGGAGTGAATTCTAGGTTTGTTTCACTGTCATCTCTATAAATCACAAAGCAGTAACCTGCTTTGAGACAATTTTTATTTACACAACACTTTAGGATTTTCGAAATTAGCCTCAACTGAGTAAAACAATTTACAGATTTTTGTATTCATTCTTTGTCATCTTTGATATTCAAAATTGAGTTGACTTAAAATCGTTGTACTCTATTTTATTGGTATTTAAGTATTTTTGGTGTGTCAAGTGGTGAAATCACTAGACCTTGTAGTAATTACAGAAATCACTACAAGGTGGATTTCTATTTATAAATAATAGATGAAAAATACATTGCATACAATGAGATACCACTTCATACCTGTTAGGATGGCTGGTTTTATAAACAGAATAGCCACACCATAGAGAGTTTGGAACCCTTGTGTATTTCTCATGGGAATATAAAATGCTCCAGCTGTTGTGGAAAACAGTTCGGTGGTTCCTCAAAAAGTAGTTAAACATAAAATTATCATAGGTAGAACAATTTCACTCCTAGATATATACCCAAAATAATTTAAAGCAGGGAGTTAAATAGATACTTACATTCCATTATTTATAGTAGTCAAAAGGTGAAAACATGGCACATGCCTGTAATCCCAACACTTTGAGAGGCTGAGGTGGGTGGATCACCTGAGGTCAGGAGTTTGGGCCGGGCACGGTGGCTCAAGCCTGTAATCCCAGCACTTTGGGAGGCCGAGGCGGGTGGATCATGAGGTCAAGAGATTGAGACCATCCAGGTCAACATGGTGAAACCCCGTCTCTACTAAAAATACAAAAAATTAGCTGGGCATGGTGGCGCATGCCTGTAATCCCAGCTACTCAGGAGGCTGAGGCAGGAGAATTGCCTGAACCCAGGAGGCGGAGGTTGCAGTGAGCCAAGATCGCGCCATTGCACTCCAGCCTGGGTAACAAGAGCGAAACTCCGTCTCAAAAAAAAAAAAAAGAGTTTGAGACCAGCCTAACATGGTGAAATCCTGTCTCTACTAAAAAGAGAAAAAATTAGCTTGATATGATGGTGAGTGCCTGAAATCCCAGCTACTGGGAGGCTGAGTCAGGAGAATTGTTTGAACCTGGGAGGCAGAGGTTGCAGTAAGCCAAGATCAGTCCATTGCACTCTAGTCTGGGCTACATGAGTGAAACTCTGTCTCAAAAAAAAAAAAAAAAAAAAAAAGCTAAAAATAAACCAGGTATCCATCAATAAATGAATGAACAAAATATGGTATATACATACAGTAAAATATTCTCCATCCTTTTTGTTTTTTTTTCTTTGTCACTCTGTCACCCAGGCTGGGGTGCAGTGGTGTGATCCCTACTTACTGCAACCTCCACCTCCTGGGTTCAGCAGTTCTCCTGCTTCAGCTTCTTTTTTTTTTTTTTTTTTTGTGAGACCGGCCGCTTCAGCTTCTTAAGTAGCTGGGATTACAGGTGCATGCCACCACGCCTGGCCAGGTTTCGTATTTTTAGTAGAGATGGGGTTTCACCATGTTGGTCAGGCTAGTCTCGAACTCCTGACCTCAAGTGGTCCATCCGCCTTGGCCTTCCAAAGTGCTGGGGTTACAGGTGTGAACCACCTGCCTGGCCTCAACCATAACAAATTTTAGAACATTTTTCCTCACCCCAAAAAGAAGTCCCATACATTGTATTTTATATTTTTATTTCTATTTATTTATTTTTTTTGACACAGAGTTTCACTCTTGTTACCCAGGCTGGAGTGCAATGGCGCGATCTCGGCTCACCGCAACCTCCACCTCCTGGGTTCAGGCAATTCTCCTGCCTCAGCCTCCTGAGTAGCTGGGATTACAGGCACGTGCCACCATGCCCAGCTAATTTTTTGTATTTTTAGTAGAGACGGGGTTTCACCATGTTGACCAGGATGGTCTCGATCTCTCGACCTCGTGATCCACCCGCCTCGGCCTCCCAAAGTGCTGGGATTACAAGCTTGAGCCACTGCGCCCGGCCTTTTTGAAAGATTTTTTTTTTTTTTGAAACAGAGTTTTGCTCTTGTTACCCAGGCTGGAGTGCAATGGCACGATCTCGGCTCACCGCAACCTCTGCCTCCTGGGTTCAGGCAATTCTCCTGCCTCAGCCTCCTGAGTAGCTGGGATTACAGGCATGCGCCACCATGTCCAGCTGATTTTTTGTATTTTTAGTAGAGACGGGGTTTCACCATGTTGACCAGGATGGTCTCGATCTCTTGACCTTGTGATCCACCCCCCTCAGCCTCCCAAAGTGCCGGGATTACAGGCTTGAGCCACCGCGCCTGGCATATTTTTATTTTTTAGATGGAATCTCTCTCCATTGCTCTGGCTGGAGTGCAGTGGTGCAGTCTTGGCTCACTGCACCCTCTACGTCATGGGTTCAAGCAGTTCTCTGCCTCAGACTCCTGAGTAGCTGGGATTACAGGCGTGTGCTACTATGCCTGGCTAATTTTGTATTTTTTAGGAAAGACAGGGTTTCATCATGTTGGCCAGGCTGGTCTTGAACTCCTGACCTCAGGTGATCTACCCACCTGGGCCTCCCAAAGTGCTGGGATGACAGTCATGAGCCGTCGCACCCGACCAAGAATGTCATCTTTTTAAAACATCAATCTGTTCATCATTAAAATAGATAAATAAAATAAGGTACATGTATTAACTGATTCAGCAGCCAGAGATCTGTCTGCTTTGGCCTCCCAAAGTGC